ACACATCTATCATTAAAAATGGCTCTTTATGGGGCTGGGGTTGTGGCTCAGCAGTAGAGCACTCGCCTGGCACATGTGAGGCCCTGGGTTCGATCCACAGCACCACATATCAATAAATAAATAAAGGTATTGTGTCAACTACAATTAAAAATATTTTTAAAAAGGAGGTTACTTTAAAAAAATGGCTCTTTCTCTCTCTCTCTCTTTTTTTTTGTACTGGGGATCGAATATGGGGATTCACATATGCTAAGCAACCACTCTTATCACACAACTTAATCCCTATCTCCTGGTGCTCCAAATGGCTATGATTATAAATTTTTAAGAGTGTGGGCTGGACTTGGCTCTCTGATATTATATTTTGAACATTCTTGTGCATGAAATTCAAACTACTTCTCTTTCATAATGAGCAATAAAGGTCATAATCAATTTCTTAGTTAAATCAAAAGATTATATTTCATATATGAGAAACACATTGGCTCATGAATGAACTGATGTAATGTCTAGCATCCATTTTATGCTATTAATTTGGTAATGGATAAATCACAACTGTTCACAGCAGGACTTTTAGTAGTACATTCTGAGGTCTCCTTGCCTCAAAGCCTTTTTTCTGTGGTGTGTTAAAAATGCAGATTTCCAGTTATACCACCTATGGAGAGAGATCTGTGAAGCTAGAGCTAGAATTTACCTTTTCAACAATAGGTTCTTCATATGTTCCTAAGAATTGGAGATCCATGAGTAGTATAACTTAGGACTTACAATCTTTGAAAACTATACAATGAGATATTCTGGTAACTCTATGATTAAACCATCTAGAAACACAAGTTTGTGGTTCCTCGGCATTTAGAAGGCCTTCTGGGTGTGTGCTGGTGGCCTCTTTTCCCCCGCAGTATGTTCTTTTCAAGATGATGACATAGTATATGTTAGGTTGAACACCATGAATACATTTCCTTCTTTTTTTTTATTGGTTGTTCAAAACATTATAAAGCTCTTGACATATCATATTTCATACATTAGATTCAAGTTGGTTATGAACTCCCAATTTTACCCCAAATACAGATTGCAGAATCACATCGGTTACACATCCACATTTTTACATAATGCCCTATTAGTAACTGTTGTATTCTGCTACCTTTCCTATCCTCTACCATCCCCCCTCCCTCCCCTCCCATCTTCTCTCTCTACCCCATCCACTGTAATTCATATCTCTCCTTGTTTATTTTCCCATTCCCCTCACAACCTCTTATATGTAATTTTGTATAACAATGAGGGTCTCCCTCCATTACCATGCAATTTCCCTTTTCTCTCCCTTTCCATCCCACCTCATGTATCTGTTTAATGTTAATCTTTTCTTCCTGCTCTTCCTCAATCAACAAATGGGCCAAAGACCTGAACAGACACTTCTCAGAGGAGGACATACAATCAATCAACAAGTACATGAAAAAATGCTCACCATCTCTAGCAGTCAGAGAAATGCAAATCAAAACCACCCTAAGATACCATCTCACTCCAGTAAGATTGGCAGCCATTATGAAGTCAAACAACAACAAGTGCTGGAGAGGATGTGGGGAAAAGGGTACTCTTGTACATTGCTGGTGGGACTGCAAACTGGTGCGGCCAATCTGGAAAGCAGTATGGAGATTCCTGGGAAAGCTGGGAATGGAACCACCATTTGACCCAGCTATTGCCCTTCTTGGACTTTTCCCTGAAGACCTTAAAAGAGTGTACTACAGGGATACTGCTACATCGATGTTCATAGCAGCACAATTCACAATTGCTAGACTGTGGAACCAACCCAGATGCCCTTCAATAGATGAATGGATAAAAAAAATGTGGCATTTATACACCATGGAGTATTACGCAGCACTAAAAAATGACAAAATCATAGAATTTGCAGGGAAATGGATGGCACTAGAGCAGATTATGCTTAGTGAAGCTAGCCAATCCCTAAAAAACAAATACCAAATGTCTTCTTTGATATAATGAGAGCAACTAAGAATCCTTCTTTCTTTTTTTAAAAAATATTTTTAGATGTAGATGGACACAATAACTTTAATTTATTTACTTTTATATGGTGCTGAGGATTGAACCTTGTGCCTCGCATGTGCGAGGCAAGCATTCTACCACTGAGCTAGAACCCCAGCCCATGAATACATTTCTTATAGGAGAATTTGGCTGAAAAACCATTTCAAGTGACAGGTACTTCAACTAGCTTATGAAAATATCACCTTCTCCCTTACAGTCTCTGAGAACAGTTACTTAGCATCATTAGAAGCCCAATTATTTTCTTGGTTGGCTTATTTATTTTCTAGATCATCCCACACCTCACCATTCCTTCATGGAAGTCTTCACTCAATACATGGATATAAATAGATTGTGTCCTGAACTGTTTTTTCTGAGAAGGGAAGTCTGGCTTCTCTGATGAGCCCTTTCCCTGGGATATTCTAGGATTAAGAAAAGCAGAGCTGACAGGTGGCTTTGACTTGGGTTTTGTTCTTTAAGGTGCTGGGTCTTGGGTGGCCTAGCATTTAAATGCATCCAACATGGGCATTTTTTGGATTACAATAGGGCAGCCAGCCACCACCAGCACTGATTATGCCTAAATCTCTCCTTTTCAAAAATGCCAGTGTTTCTTTTGTCTGTTTTGCAAATGTGGCTAAATGGGGATTTAGAGTTGTGGTTTGTATTATGCAACAGTTCCTGATTATTTATTTGGGTGCCAAAGCACAGTGGACTAACTGACCAGAGGGAGAGAGGGACAGAACTGAACCCTGTCTCATTTATCCTGATTTTCATAGTCAAAGCAAACCACAACAATTGGTTCATCCATTTGAATAGTATTTGTTGAATGCTACTCTTAGTGCAGCCACATACGTCAGTGACTAGAGGGGAAATGATGACTGTCTTGGAAGGATGGTTCTAGGAGCTTTTGCAAAAAGCCTTTTTTATTTTCAAATCTCTCCACCTCACCTAGAAAAGAACCAGAGGAAATGTATGTATTTTGAGGTACATGGCTTGGTTCCTTGAACCAAGGTGATATACTGTGGGACTATCAGTGGCTGCAATAAAACAAGTTTTTTTTACGTACTACATAAAATTATTCCACTCATGGATGCATGAAAGGACAGAATCCAAATCCAACAGAAAAATCTCCCATTCTTATGAAAACTTTAAAGTATTTCTGTGGGCATATGACCAAATTATCAGTAAAAGGAAGCACAATGTACTCAAACTCACTCATGGTTTTACCTTCCGTAGTAGATGTTGTTGCTGCTGTGATCGGCCCCCTAACTGGTTCTTTGTCACCATCCTCCCATTTCTGTGACCCCTTTTGTAAAGATTACCCTAAACCTGCTTCACCTGACCACCGAGAGCCACAGTGCCTGATAGTTTATGTTCCTTCCAAGGCAGGCCCACAGCTATGAACAGACTGGTATGGGAGTACAAAAGCCCAGATCTTTTGCTTTAAAATGAGACTCACTGCAAGGTGTAATACACATTCATTCCAAAAACTGTCTCAGTATGTCACCAAGGCTAGGACCCTTGTTTGCAATGGCTCCTTTGTTTGGCTTCTGCCCCTTCTTCTCTCACTCTTATTCTGGATTCTCCTAAGAACACTTCCTTAATAAATCACTTGTACATAAATCTTTTTGTTTAAGCGCCCAAATCTGAGGATGCCAAGCTAAGACAACTTCCATTTATTTGTAAGCTATATTTTATTACCTATGGATGATGAGGTGTCAGATGCTCAAAGAAATCAACAAATCATTGTGCTGAGAAGAAAGGTGGAGAAAAGAAAAAAAAAATCTTGTATTTTGTAGCCATGACAAAGAATATGGTAAATCCTGGCCAGACTTACTTAAACTTGAAGACTCCACATCCTAAATACTTGAGGATGGCTAGAACTTGAGGATTATCAAAGCATCATTCCTCATAGGTGGGAGGAAAGTTCAAAGAGGTGAAATAATTTGTTTGAAACTGTAGAGATATCTGGAACCTGAACCTCTTATTGCTCAATCTAGGGCTTCTCTTTAAAAATATCCTTGAAAGAGCAAACTCTAGAAAACTTGGAAGGAAGGCACCTGTTTTGAAGGGGATTTTGGGAACCTGGTCCCCTTCTCACTCTTTTCCTTCCTTCTTGGTCATGTGATCTTATCATGATGCACTGTTTCACCACAGGCACAAAAGCAATGAGGTGACTAGATTATGGACCAGAAACTTTAAACTGTGAGCCAAAATAAACCTTCTCTTTTTGAAAGTTAATTATCTCAGGCATTTGTTATAGCAACAGAAAACTGACTAATACACTAGGATTTCACTGAGTTTGTAGAACACATTTTCAATGAGTATTATGTTTTCTTTCTACCAAACATTGAAATGAAGGGGGAAGTCCATCCAGATGCTTGTGTTCCTTATAATACAATACCTAGTTTCAAGGTCACAAAAGAGGAGACCTACAAACTTCACCTACTTTAATTATATCTACTAAAATAATTCCAAAGAATTCCCAAATTGGGAAGATAAGTAGCAATAGACTTCAAGGAAACAAAACATGGACATTGGGAGGAAGTTATAGAAAGACAAAGTTGGACCCAGAGAAAGAATTTTCTAAGGGATCTTCCCAAAGTCTGCATTGGAGGATTTAGAAGAAGTGAGTCCCCCATTCTTGGCAGTAATCAAGGAAAGGCTGAAAAGCTGGTGGAGTTTGGTGGACACAATTCATTTATGGAATAAAACATCGGATCCAGGGATATGTAAGTTCCCTTCCAAACCAGGATCTCTGACTTCATGAAGGAAACCAATATGCAAGCATGATCTGATGTCACAATGTCACAAGCCCAGGTCCCCTCAAAAAAGTGGGTTCTCTGTAGCAGTGGAAATTAGGATTTAACTGGGGAGAGTCCCTATCCACTTCTTCCACATGACTATTATCTTGTTTTTCTTTAGAGATTAGAACTTTGTTGGACCTAATTCTTTCTACCCTTTCTTTCATTTGGGGAAAGGTTTGCTTTGTACAAGAAATACCACCTGATCCTCAGCATTAAATGATTCCCTGTGGTTGAAAACAAGGAAGACATTTCCCAAGTCAGCAAGCTTCCTGGAAGGAGGTAGCAAATTCTGTTTCACTTGCAAAGTCTGCTTTCATGGAGGTGAGGAAATAAAAACACCCATCTAATTGTTTTCAGATTAATCTGAAAATTTTAAATCAAACAATGTGGGCATTCACCCTGGACTTCATAATTTTCATCTTTAATGGAGATGGTTTTGTTTTTAGATAACATTTCTGTGTGTCTCTCCTTGAAGAAACCTTGACATACACACATAATGTCACTCCACATAAACGCACTCTTCACCAACCTGCACAAACAGTTGAGCTAACAGACTCACTGGAAAACTATTTGCTCTAGTAATCAATTCACTGCAGAGTTGCTTTAAAAAGCAAAGCTCCCAGCTTACACTCCAGCATTTTTCAGATCATTAAGTACTTATCACAGAGAGTGGGAACACAAAAAATGTCCCGGAAAAGTGTCAGGAGTCCCAGCTGATGGCACAAGAGCTCCAAATGATGATGAAGTGTCTCTGAGGAGATTGTGGAAGTCAATGGGAAAAGAAGACTGATTTATGCAATTAGCTTTACCCAAGCCTCCATTCAAGTAAAATAAGTCACCACTGTGACTGGAACAACTCTGGTATATAAACTTGACTTCTCCAGTAACTCACTCTGCCATTCACTATCATTAACATAGAGTGGGCTTAAAGCACTTTGGATTAGATCTGGTGGGCAAAGGGCCTGGATATTCATGCTTTCTCCCTAATGCACTTGAAGAAAAGTTTTTTTTAAATGCTATTGTTTTCCAATATGAGACAGCCAATGAACTTTTAAAGCTTCCCAATGCCCAGATGACACCCTAGACCAATCCAATTAGAATCTCTGAGAATGGATATCAGGAAGCAATATATTTTCAAACTCTTCAGGTGATTTTAATATGCAGCCAGGATTGACAATTGTGCTACTGAGACTCCTATGTTTACATATGTGTATACATAAATTTATTTTAAAATTGATCAGACTGATATAAGTTGTTCTGGTTTTCTTTAATTATTAATCATATGAAAATTTCCATTAGTCATTACTTGATTGCTATTTTAAAGATTGCACTGTGTTCCATCACATGAACTTATATTTTGTTTATTGAATCCTCTATTATTGGACATTTAATGTTCTTTTGTCCATCTGTCTTTTTTGTATCCATTTTTGCAGTGCTGATTATCAAATTTCTGTTTCTTTTTTGCCATTTTCAGTTTCATTGCCACAAACATATTTATACAAAAACTTTATCTACAACTTAGATTATTTCCTTATAATGGGTTCCTGAAAGCAGATTTATAGGCCAAGAAGAATGAAAGCTTTAAGGACATCTGAGATATATTACCCAAACTGCCTCTTACAAAGCCTTATCGATTCTTAGTTTTTAATTTGTGATTTCCTAAATTTAAAAGTTTTGATATCTTTGCATACTACAAGAAGAGTTAAAATTAAATTTTTTCTGGTTTTTCTCAATAGTCATTTTTAATCTCACTTTTTATACCTGATAACTTTATCTTGGCTTATACATGGAGAGTACTCTAATTTGGTATTTCCCAAATAGTTTCTTTCTTTTTTTTTTTTTTTTACATCATTTGTTGAATTACATCTTCTTTCTTCATTAGTTTATAACTCTTAAGAAGTTTAAAATAAAACATGGAGGCTTAAAATTACTCCACTTTGTGCTAGTGAATAGACACAGAGAGGCATACTAGAAGGTTTAAACTACTAACAAATTAGTTTGAGTGTATTCTTGTCTAAATTTTAACCATTTTTGTTTCTTAACGTTATCTCATTCTGGCTTTAACTCTCACTCATTTATAGAACAGTTAGGTGTTGAAAAACAACCCAGAGCTCATCTTCTCTAAGATGCCTTTAATCTGCCTGTAAGCAGCTTGTAGTGTTGCCAATAACAGTCCTGCCCAAATCCATCTGCTCTACTTTAAATATTCTTCCTCTGCAATATTGTTTATAACCATGCATTATCTACAATGACAGATTTTTCTACATAATGTCACTGATTTATTAACAATTCTGAATTTAGTTGGATCTGTTTTTAGATACTTATTCTATATTAATATTATTTTTAAAAACTTTATTTTATTTATTTTTTATATAGTGCTAAGGATAGAACCCAGTGCCTCACACATGCTAGGCCAGCACTCTACCACTGAGCCACAACCTCAGCCCTTATTTAATATTATTTTAAAAATCATTATAGTCTCATTGTCCTGGACTTAATAGCCATATTTAAAAAGTCAGTAAATGAAGGTCACCCAAAGGAAAAGAAAGCTAACATTTTTAAGAATATAGAGAAATATTTTCAATGAAGTCAACACACAAGTCCTCTCCCTTCTATCCAACATGATTCCTGTATTAAAACAGAAAAAGTAGATTTGCCTACCAATTTTTAAAAATGAATTGTACTTGCTCACCATTATTACTCTTTATTGGCTTTGTTGAGTCTAAGAAACCTTCATTTTGCTTCTCCTATTGCCAGGTACTGTAGAGACCACTTACTAAGAGAAACAACTGGCCCCATGAATTCCTACCCCACGACTGTGAGCAGGTGGGATACACAAGACAATGTGTGAATATGTTCACATGTCATGGTGATTCCAGAAACTGGGAGGAACTTAACCTGTCCCATTTACTCTCTCCCACCCAGTCTTTGCCTTGATTGAGTTTTTTGCTCTTTTGAATGATACATGCAAGATGGTGGACAGAATTAAGGGTGTGGCCAGAGCAGCAGGCACCACTTGATGGTTCTTGAAGAAATCAAACTCTGAACTGCCTTCCTGCACCAGTGAGTCTATATGAGACCATCCAGATTTTTGGAAATCTGGCAGGTGGGAGGCCACAATCATTATACTCACCCATAGGCAGCTTAGACCTTGTAATCTGGCAAACTCCAAAAGGCAAAGTTTCAGGTTTTAGCTTATGGGATATCCTGATGCCTTGGGGAGAAAGGATCTTCTGTGTTATTTAAAATGCCCTTAGCTATCAAATACCTGGGCTCAATCTTTTTATTTCACATGAAGAAACAGCTGAAACCTCAGACATCCTTCCTATGGTGGCTGAGCTGAAGATAGAAGCTAGGGAAACTTGCCCTGAAGTCAGTGAGGCTCAGAGCAGCTATTTCTGTTTTGGAAGAAGTTCCCAAGGGTCTGGGCCTGCCTAGTGCATTTAAAAAAAAAAAAAAAAAAACAAAAAAAAAACAAAAAACACTCTCCAGACCTGAGGCAGGTCTGACTCTCCAGCACTTGGTCTTGGAGAAAATCAGTCCCCGCCCCCTTAAAGAATTCTGAATTGCAGCTCTCTCTACTGAAAGGCCCAATTTTTCCTATTGTGTTTTTCCTCCTGTCCCTCAAAGTCTATAAAGCAAGGTACTCAGGAAGAGGCAAATTTCTTAATCAAAACCCTATCTGTTTAGGAACTTAGCCTGAGCCAAGAATCTACATGCAAGGGATTTACTGAGGGAGGGCTCCCAGGGCAGACCAGGAGGGGCAGGAATGAAAGTAGGTCTAGAAAAGAGAAGAAGCCAAGCAAGGCAAATTCCTAGCATCAGTCTCACCCTCCAGGGAGCTCTGGAGTCTTCAGTGTACCTCAAAGTATGTCCTGCCACCAGACTTAGGAGCTGAGCTTTGTACTCCCACATTAAGCAGTCACTGGCTGGAGCCATCTTGGGGGGTTAAAAACTTCCAGGCATGTGTATGGACGAAGCAACCCTCTGTGGGGTAACGTCACAGGTTGTCTCTAGTAGCAAAATACGTAGAAGTTGCAATAGGCAGGTAAGGACTCCAAGGGGGAGCTCGTGGGGGCCCCACAGTGTCTGCAATAGGAACCCTCTGGGGATAAATCTTACAGCTCAGGCTGAGCAGTGCCCCAGAACTAGGGAGGAGCCATCTTCTTGAAAGCAGGTGGTACGCCATCTGTGGGCTCTGTGGGAACTGGAGGGTACATCCTGCTCAGGGAACCCTGCCAGTCAGCAGGGTGGAAGGCCTGGCCAGGTCACCCAAAAAATTGCCTAGCTAACCCTTTTGTGGGTGCCAAGATCTTTTCTCCAGTCCCAGAGTATACATGATATGTATATCCCAGAACATTTTTATGTCATTAAACTATATTAGTACCCCAGATATAACTTTGGAGTTATGACTGACACCCCCAAAGGAAAAGTGTTCTTCATATGAAAATTACATTTTTAGTTCTTGCCACTATGAGAAGTCCATCCATACTCCTCTGTCTTGCAGAAATGTCCAGGACCATTCCAGCCACTTGTTCAAGGCCATGATAACTGAGCACTGAGGGTCTGGCAAGTGCTATTTAGACTCTTGGATGTGACAACTCATTGGAATAGTCCCAAGAACACCATGTGAGGTGGGTATCTTTATTATCCCCCATTTATAGCTAAGAAAGCAAGGCACAATAGCTAGTAAATAGCAGAGCTGGGATTTGAATCCAGAGAGCCTGAATCAAACATTCTCACCACTGACCACAGAACTAGAATACTGAGCACATACATTCCTAAATGCTTATAAATAGACTGTAGATATAAAAAAAAGTCATATTCCATCAGGACTTCGTTCAAGATTTGGTGAGTGAATCTAACTTTAAATGAACCCATTTTTGCCCTCGTCCACTATTTATATATACCTATGAACAAGGAGCCTATTATTATCTCCTTTTTTTTTCCCCACATGGTATCTTAGCCTTAGGGAGGCTTAAATATTTTGCCTTCAGTTACACAATTAGAAAATGGCCAAACCCAAATCCTTAATTCTAGAACAATTATTTTAATTAATGCTAAGAAAAATTATTCAAAACCTGGAAGTAAAGCAAAAGGATGATAGAATTCTTTTTCATCATACAGGAGCATTTAATATCTTCAGGATAACTTTAGGTTTACCAAAGAATGGTCTATTTTTTTAGGGGAATGTGCCTTTGTTGGACTATGTTTTTTTTTCTTTTAACAGTTTTATTGAAGTATAATTGACATACAATAAATGCACATAGTTAATGCACAATCTGATAAAACTTGACATATATTTTGCCACAAAACCATTGCCAGAATGAAAATAATGAACATATTTATCACCACCAAAGTTTTTTTCTTATTTACTCTTCATTGGAGATCAGATTGTCAAGTTAGATATTACTTTATAGAAGATTGAACAAATGACTTTCATCCAATATAGATGCAAATGATTTCTCTCTGGTACAAAAGATAATCTCAAGGGTAATATTTTTATTGCCTGGTGAGGCATTAATCAGTTTTGAACCCATCTTAAAATTTATTTTTATCTTCCTTTCTTGGCTAACTATATAAATCTTTGTTCCTTAAATATTCTGGGAATGAACTGTACCAGCCTACTGGTTCTCTCACTAATGAAGTAAATAAATCTTTGGTACAAACTCACTGTATATTCATGAGAGTGATGTTCTAACTCTGGAAATTATACTTTGCTATTACCAAGTTTGTGTATGTGTCTCAGTATGTACAGATGTATACAATATTCTTAGGACCTTCCAGAGAGTAAATCAGGACTCATATTGTCCTGTACACCTGAGAATGGGGGAGTTCTAGATGGTTCTAGAAGGGTATGGTGGGCCTATAAAGAGTAAGCTCATGAATCTCACTCATACTTAGGCATTGTTATAGTTTGTATGTGAGGTGTCCCCCAAAAGCTCATGTGTGAGACAATACAAGTAGGTTCAGAGGAGAAATAATTGAGTTGCCTTAACCCAGTCAGTGAATTAATCCCTTGATAGGGATTAACTGAGTGGTAACTGAGGGCTGGTAGGGTATGGCTGGAGGAAGTGGTTATTGGGGTATATATGGTGGGCTATGGGGTATATATTGGTATCTGGCAAGTAGAGTCTCTCTCTGTTTCCTGATCCTCCTGTGAACTGCTTCCCTCTGCCACACTCTCCCGCCATAATGTTCAGCCTCCCTTCTGACCCCCGACGAATGGAGCCAGCTTTCTTTGGACTAAGACCTCTAAAACCATGAGTCCACAAATAAACTTTTCCTGCTTTAAAAGGAGTAAAAGTCAGATCTTTCTGATCTGGTCAGAAATTTTAGTCACAGCAGCAAAAAAGCTGACTAAAACATGCCTGTACTGGTAGAATTTATGCCTCAAGTCTCTCTATGTTCCTGTTCTTTCCATCCCCTCAGATTCCTTTCCTGTAGCTGCACAAATATCTAAAATTTTCACAAATTCACTTTCTAGGAGGAACATATTTTAGGCAAGCATGCTTTTCTAGGCCTGCAGTTCATTTAGCTAGAACCTCAAGGGGATACTACGGAAATGGAAGATTTCATGAATAACACAATGGAAAGACAAAAGCCACCCAGGAAAGGTTAACTTGCTTTAATCACAAGTGCAGATGTGTTTTCCTTCAAATAGATTTATATGTTCCTTTTTGGAGGCAGTAGCAGATTTGTTTAATATTTTCCAAGGGATCAGATCTCGTGCTTATTAACCATTACTCCCTCAGGAGCCAACCTGGTGAAAATGCTTATCTGCTTCCGTTTACTGTAATCCTCCAGATTTCTGTGATTCCATTTGCCACAATCCCACCCCTCAATCCTGCTTTGTCTGGACAACGTCCATCCAGCCTTCAAAATTCATTGCAAATGGCATCTTCTGGGGGAGGCTGCTCACAGGGACCAAGGTCTCCTCTGGACTCCTCTGTGGCTTTCAGGCATTCGATGTTTGTACTTCTTGCTATACCGGCCTCTATGTTATCTGCATCCCTGATACACTATGATAGATCCTCAAGGGGAATTATGTGAGTCCAGGTGACTGGCATATGGAAAGCATGGAGTAAATAGTTGTGAGAACAAGGATCATACTTCATCCTTCTCTTCAATAAAATACAGTAAGCCATGGTTTGGGATGAGCTCCCAGTACTAGGCCCAATAGGTCAAACAGAGATGGAATCACTCCTGCTAAAGTTCCAGGTCACCAAGCCAAAACATAGTTATTTATCTGACCTTCCAGAAGGTTGGGAGCATGAGAGAGAATAGCAAAATCCCCAACTAAGCTAGTTTTAGCTGGCATGATAAGGTAGTCTCTTGGTTTTAACCCTATAAGGAAAGTAAGCTTGAAACAACCAATCAATCCACTCTTGATTCTCTGCTTCATCTTCCTTCAGCCCTTTTCTGTCTATAAAGTCAAACTCCTCAGCTCAAGGGAGCATTCCATTTTGTGGGATAAGATGTTGCCCAATTCTAAAATCTTGAGTAAAAGACACTTAAAATCTTTAGATTAAATTTGTTGCAATTTTGTCTTTTGACATTTCCTTATGACTTCTTAAGTGTTTTTTTTTGTTTTGTTTTTTTTTTGACATGATGCTGGACTCTTATATTTGAGTATATATGTTTCTTAATTGTTTCAAGCAATTTTTTGGTACTACACTTCCTTTGACTATCAAAGGCGATATGTTCACAATTAATTTGAATATATTAATATTTACTGGAGAGCCCAATAAGTAATTTCAGAAATTATATACACATATACATTTATCCATCACTCCTCAGTATCCCAGAAGATGAAGATACTAAGGGTTTAAGAGTTGCATTAAGTGTTGGGACACAATTTTAAAGTTTCATCTTCAGAGGACCTGGTGGCCAATCTTGGTCATTTTGGCATTACTTTTGTAAGGCTCGATCCAGCAAATTTAGCTCCATGCAATGTGATGGGGCTCGGTCTCTGGGTAAATGGAAGGTGATCTGACTTCCTGAACATGAAACCATGAAGCCACGTACTACATGCTTACATTTATTTATACTCCAGGACCTCCTTCAGAAATGGCCTGAACAAGGAGAACCAGCTCTATTTCTAAACAGTTTGTGGATTTGTTTGAAAAATACATTTTTAAAGGAAAATGGTTTTCAAGAGACAGAAGGTTTCCTAATAAAGAAGATGTAATTTCTAAATGGACTTAAAGAATCAGAGATTTTGAAAAGGTCTGAAAGTTGAAGTCAGCTTTGTTTTCTTTCATGTTCTAATATGAGTTGAAAGGATGCTAGTCTAGCCAGAGTATGGCCTAGGATAGGCAGCAGCAGGGTCTGCAGGAGACTTGTGGAAATGCCAATTCATGAGCCCAACCCAAGATGTAATCTGGATGAAACTATGAGGGTGTGATCCAGGAA